CTGGGCACACTCTACCAGACATGTCGCTCTTTGCTTTGAAAGGCAAGAGGACATCAGGGACCCGGGAAACGACAAGATTAGCTGCTGGTCAGCCTCGAGAGTGCGTGTTCTTTGCATAGCCATGGCGTTCTTTTTTTTCATTTTTCAACCTCGTCTTGTTTCAAGGACTGACACAATGGCATTTCTGGCGCTTTGGCTTTTTTTTTCGTCTATATTGTCTTTCCTCCTCTTCGTTGTTCTGCTTGCTTGCTTCGTATGTGAGCGCCTTTTATGAGGGGGGGATGGCATGGGAGGGAATGGAATGTTCAGTGGATTGGCATGTTTAGTGGATATGTCGTTATACTTTACACCAACCCAATAGCCCTTTGAAAATTTGTACATTTACGCAATGTGATGTATTCTTGCTCGTGTTATAAACTTCCTAGCGTGCATTTGCCTCGTCGCAGGATGGGAATGGGAAGGGGGGGAGGTTGTTTTTGGGATGGGAGTGTGCGTGTGGAAGTAGATGTGAAAGTGGAAGTGGATGGCTAGTTCTGGGATGGGAAGGTGCGGGAGGGGGTTCGAATTCGAATGCGAAATCTAGGATGCGAAATCTAAATTAAATGTGCAAAATGTGAGATACACACTCTACAAAACTTCATATCATATCAACCGCGCTCCCCTCTCCCCATGGTTATATCTGTTTGTTTGAAAAAATAAACACCACGTGCCATGCGCGATGTATGGGAATGGGTGCTTGGCTTGCATGCAGATATGAGATGGACCACGATTTTAATGTAGCGCGCGTATTTTACGCCCAAAAAAACGCCCCACCAGAAAAAAATGGGAGAAAGACATGTCAAAGAGCAAATATCCATGTGCATTGCATACCTAGGCCGCCAGCCTAGAGTGAAGGCGTCCCCCCGTAGGTCCTGTATAAAACCAACCTTTCTTTGCGCAAAACACACACACCACTTTTCCACCTCCTCCCCACGGAAACTCTGTAGCAGAGTTTCAAAGAGTTGACTACATTGTTCATGTGTGGTTTGGAAAACAGGGAGAACATTCAACCGTATATCTGTCTCGCTTGTGTCGTAAAAGACTACCGGTACGCTGGATCGCTCTATACGGTGTGTCTTTTACGTTGAAGGAAACACGGCCAGATGGTATGGCTTTGTATGTTTTTGATTTGGAAAATAAGCTCTATTGCTGCGATGCGATTTGGTGGGTTTGTGCGCTTTGGCTGTTCTGTTATCTTGTCTGCCTTGTGGGGAGGGGTACAAATAGGATAGAGGTGCTTGTGCGGTAGGACCTATATTCATCCTCACACTTCTCTGTCATTCTAGAGATGGAAATCTTTTTTCATTCGACATATGGTTTTTTTTTCTGAGCACCTGGGGTGAAAAGCACAGAGTGGTAGCTAATATGTGTGAGTCTTTGCTTCTAAAACAGTTGGTCCAAAGTGAACATGAAATTGGGCATGCTTGACTGCTGAATTATAGAGGATAAGGAAGTTCCAGGTGGACTTGATGTGTCTGCATCTTTCTATCACACACGCTGTTATAAAGATGCGAAAAGACCTCTAGATTGCTCACCATGTTGTTCCTCCGCGCAGCCGTTGCACACTAAAACAATGTTTGTCCATGCCCATGCGGTGTTCTTGCCCATGCGATGTTCTTGCCCATGCGATGTTCTTGCTTTCTTGTGGTAAAATCCGCATCTTGCATGACACATGGAGTGATGTGTTTTCGAGTTTTCGAGTTCTACTAGGTCGGAGTCGACAACGTGATGGGCGCGGTTGTCTCACCACGAGTATAAATAAATCCCCGTCTCTGATCTGGCTTTAACTTCCACGCTAGACACGCAATGCTGGCATGATTAAAACGACTATCCGTAAAAACAACGGCTTTGTGAGATGTCCGTGCATCAGAACAGACAGTCATCAGCAATGTCCGAGGGGATCTGGGGAATCTTGGCAGCTATGAATATGTTTTGACTAGAGTTTTTGTTCTGGAACTCTGATGCAGAGCTGGGTGTTTTACACTTTTATTGCAAAAGAATCTCTTGAGATCCCATATGAGTGTGGGATTCCTGGAAGGGAAGTGAGCCAATCAGTTGGTCGTCCTAGCACCAAAAGGATCTCAGAGCAGTATTCAAAGTACGACTTCCTGTTCTCAACCTGCGTCTTATGCCTTTACGACTTAAACACCGAAATCGAAAATCTCGCGGTGTTCTTTCTATGAAACAATGCGATCTGTGGCTGAGACATGGAGATAGGCGTTTGGAATGGCCTTGGAAATGGCCTTGGAAATGGATACATTAGCCTCCCATGCCTCCAAGTTCTCTTGGTCTTTTACACGCGCATCTTCTTGTAGATGACAGGTTCCACATCTACTTTCTCATGGTTCTGTCCGCGCTCTGGACTTTCCCAAAAATACATGACAGATTGGGTGATGTCTTTAGGAGTGGGTTCGGGAGTTGAGATTACCCTTCATGGCCATTCATAAAATGATGTTGAAACCGGATGAGCGGTGAGATTCTCATGTACAAAATCGGCCAATTCTTCCGTCTATGGCGTTGCGTCGATTTGGCCACTGAAGATGTCTTGGCTATTGCAGTCACCAATAAGGACAGCAACCATGAAATCTTGCACTTAGACCAGTGCTTGGTCCTTTCAGCGCAGACTACCCAATGAACACTTACAGACGGCTAGACATAGTCTACATATCTTACCCAGGCTCTTCACATGCTTCTTTGAAGCTAGTGACTCTAGTGTCAAAGCCGATACTATGTAAAAATGACATGAGTTCTACTCTCTCTTTATGAACCCATCTATCCTCATGTGATGTCACTTTAAAATAATGGGGGAGGCTTAGTCCAAGAAAACGGGTATAAGACCTCCTTCTGTCCTCCTCCACACCATTCCTGCTCACAAAGTTGTGACGTCCCGTTCCAAACTTTGTACAGTTTACTAATGCTTGGTTTATATGTTTCAATATAATCCACTTTCAAAAACACCACGGGAGAGCCATGCTCGCCTCTATTCGGCTGGGTAAAAATAGAAAATGAACACCAAAATTAATATTCAGCTCGCGCGTGTAGAATTGTCGAAACTTTACGAGGCCGTAGAAAAACGCTAGCTCTATTGCGCATGTGCGTTGGCTGCGAGAGAAGGACTGGAGACATCGTCAAATGTTTGGCAAAATAAGTTCTGTGAAGAGTCCCACCTCGATGGATGTGTACAAAGTACTTTACGTTGCCAGAAAACTTTTCCTACTCTATAGCACAAGACGCCAGTGTATCAAAGACAAAGATTACAATAGCAACTATGAAGATGCTTGTCATTCATCTTTCGTATCATGATATGAAACCAAAGTTGAGCCAGACGCATGTGGCTTCCCACTCAGACATCCCCTCACCAAGAAGCAATCGCTGAGTCCCTCATCTTCTAGCAAGAAACCTATAAGCCTTGTCCACGCATGCACGAAAGTATTTAGATTGTGCTTTTAGATGCTCGTGAGACAATCTCAACCAATGAGAACAGAGGCAATGTCATCGCGATTCAAAACCAACTCTGATGCGGTTGCACTTTGGCGAACCGCGCCAGCCCGGCGGAGGGTTGGCGCTGCCTCCCCCCATGCCTCCCCTATATATATCCACCAAAAGGATAGATAGATGAGGTAGACTTACATTGAACGATGCACTACCATCCACACGTGCCCTGTGCCCCGTCTCTATTTATCCATATCAAACTCCAATTCATTGGCAGATTGCTACCAATGTAGCTCGCTCAAATAACTTTGAAGCATTTGATGGCTCCAAAAACAGATGCTCTGATACAGCATGAGTTTTCTGACTCTAGGAGGCGATACCCCAAACTAGAAGTTCGAAGGACCTTGTCCAATGCAAGTTGACAGAATTCACAACTATAAATGTCCTGTGTTGCGACACTCTTTCTCACATCAGCCTGCATAATTGTAAGACCTCCAAAAAATCTCTAACAGAAAGGATATATGCGACTGTTTCTCTCTGCTACTTTAAAAACCCAGCTCGCTTCATTTTATGGTGTGCGAAAAGACGAAAGATGAATAAATCTTCAGTCCTACTTTTTGTGTTATAATGGGGTTCTCTGCGTTCCACCTTCACACAACTGACATTCTAAAAATAAAAGATGTACAGCCCATGATCAAACAGAAAGGGTATACAACCCATGGTCCTGTCCTCACTTTGAAAGCCACTATCGTCCAACGACTATTCGATCTTTTTTTATACATGTCTCCTTGGTGCCTACGCATGTAGACAATATCATTCATTGCACCAAACTCGGCTGATGAAGGAAGCAAACGAGATTGATCAGTCTCAGAAATTGAAGACGTGGAACTTGTGTTCTCTCTCACGCCCCTGGTTCCCAAATGTCACCTGTGCTGAAAGCTATGAGTGAGTAATCCGCAACGAACAGTTGTTGTATATTAATCTGCTTTCGAATCCCTTGGCTTCTCTATTTCAAGCCCGCAATGTATAAAAGAATACCAGAACGGTGAAAAATGACTGCATGCAATGATGTTCGATTTGAATATTGAACTAATACAAAACATCTTGTCATTTCCTGACTTTCAAGCCCGGGATCGACGAAGCGCGCATCAGTCATCCCAAATGGCAATTTGATGAGGATCTAATCGCCCACATCTTCCCAGAATAATCTTCAAAAACACTGGGCCATTTTCCTATCGTTGAGCTAAAGCTAGCATTGATTGGGATACGAAGCCAGGAGTTTTTTAAAAAAAATAACAAAGACCGGGCCATGCTTCCTTCACGTTGCGAGATTCCTCCAATTGATAATCAATTTGTTTATATTGCAGTATACGACAAGAAGGTGGGGTCGATTGTAGTGTGTATATGATCGTAATTGGCGTATGGTAGTCTAGCAGATAGGCGTCTATCTAATATTGATCACATATGTACCGCCAACATCTAAGCCAATCTTGGAAGCACAGGTGATCTCCACATTATGGCCATAGCAGATATAAATACTGGATGTGATACCCCACAGACATTTCAGCAGCTATCACAAAAAAAATACCAAAGTGTGACTCCGTTGGATGTCTAAAAGCACTTGTTATAATATTACAACAATACTATCATATGACGGCTTCGCTTTCCTCCCGTTCACCATATCCCGTGCAGTTGACCTGCGATCGACAACATCCATTCTCGGTTTCTGATCCATACCAGTATCCTTGGCCGGTATAAGTATATAAACCTACCAAATCCAACTTTTGAAACAAAATCATGATCTATTAGCCTTTAAAGCTTTACCAAGAGATACATACAATCTTTCCATGCCGATGATGTATTTGATTTTTCTACATCACCTATAGCACCTGCTCGTATCTATGGTGGTGACTGCGATATCACCACTGGCGACCTCCCCAGCCCGGGTTGACCGGGGTACGTCACAATAGGGACTAGTGGGATAGGTAGACAAGGCCATCTTCGGGTGTATCCTCCATCTCTTCTTCAATGCATTGCTTTACTTGCATTATGCATCAATGTTCGAATCAAAGAAAATTCTATCTCTGTACAGTCACTCTGCGTCACCTCATATGAGCTTCACAAAAGGCGAATGTGCGAAAGCAAGCTGAGATTATGTCTTTATGAGCCCGTATCTCGCATACGTTGTTCGCTATTTCAGACGCACAAACACTTTTCTCTTCAACACAAATTTCAACAATGCCTGGAGATTAAGCACCATTGATACAAAGCCATGTGTCTTTATCCTCTCCTGCTTGGTCTGAAATGCCATTCATCAAACTACTGGATGAATTTTTTGTGGCTTTCTTCCACATGTCGCTTGCAATTTGATGTTGGAAAACCCAAAGCTCCTACTAAAATAGGGTTTTGCCAGATTTTATATGCTTGAACAGCGGTATATATACCTCTCCTTTAACTGCAGCTTTTTCTTCATCTACATAATCGGCACGTAAGCCTGCCATAGGAGCAAAAGCCAGTTCATAAACAAAGTATGTGTGTTGCCGTTTCTCTCGGCAGCAAATCATTATGAGAGCGACCAAGCGTCTGCTACCGTCAGCATTTGCCATAAAAAATGCGGAATCGAACCATAGAATATGGTGGGTGGTGCCCCTGCTTCCAAGTCAATGTCGTATTTTATCATCGTCCTCAGCCCGCTCCAGTGATACTCAAGAACTGTACCATCATACTGTCACACGTGCGAATACCTCTGTCAAGTTATGCCGGATCTAAAGCCATGAGGATTGGAATTTATACGCCTCCGTCTTCCACACACACCTTGAATGATCACGTTAGCAAGACATTCAACCCTCCCATTTCAAGGGAGAATTGATTTGCAGTCATATCTGCACCCTTTCTTTGCTGACTTTACACACATTGAATTCAACCCTATGTGCTGGATGCCCTAGCATATATTCATTGCCCCAATCCGTCTCCTCAAAATTTGCTTTGTCAGATCGATGACTCGGACTTGGAAACCCGTGGTATAAATACTTCTCACGACATTTTGATCCTGCGCTTAAAATCCCCCTTGGGATATGAAAAATGGGCCATCAGCGAATTTATGATCTAAACCCTGGTTTCTATACGCCATGTGCTCTGGAATTGGTAGAATTATACATGGGCACTCTTCATGGTGTTTTGTTTGAGAAAATTGTCTTTTGTACCCCTCCTCCTCCTATCTTACAATTTGTTAAGCAAAAAACCCCATGTACTGCCGAAAGGAAAGGGGAAGGCCTCATGTGCTTCTACTTTTTCACCTCTTCTCAGTCCCTATGTAGGGATCTGTACGTCACGATGTCACGTACTATGTCAAACATGAAGAAACATTACAAATATCTTAATCTTTTCTTTCCTTCATGAAGACATTGGAGATAAGTTTAGATGATTAGATGGAGCAATATCGCATGTGATAATTAAGTGTGTGAGCACTATACCGCAATCGGCCATAGAGAGTCTAGAGGTTTGGGTCTGAGTATATATACCCATCTCCTCTTTCTCCTGTTCAACACTTCTCAGAACCCGAAATCTAGGGCCTGGGTATCGAAGAAATTCAGTGTGAGCACAGTCATGTTGTGTGCTTAGAAGCTGAGAAAGGCACATCTCAGCGTGTCTGTTCCAAGAAAGTCCAACGACAAACACAATGTGTTTGTTTCCAAAACGAGCAATCAATGGGCCATGATTGCTCTTCTGAAACATGGGTGAGGTCGATCCATAGTGTCTGAAAAGAGGTGTCCATGAACTCCTGCTGCTGCTCCTTGAGAAGGCCGAAAAAGCAGCCCACCGAAACTATGCACATTCCAAAACATTCAAGAAAAAACCACACTTTGCCTGTCTCAAAGAAAAAACGTCCATTTAATCGCATGTGCTCCAAAACTCTGACCCATGACATGGCTAATGTTTCCTTGAAGGATAACCCAAGCCCCCCATCTCCACCCGATAAGCCATCAAGCTTTCAAACCACACCCTAAAAAGAGAAAGAGACAACAGTAACAGATCAGCTATATATGTGAACAGACACGTGTGGATAGTTGAGTGGGCATAAAGCACATGAGTACCACAGCCATCAAACATAAGCACAAACACGAACAAGAATTACCAAGACATATAACCATCACACCTCCCAAGCACTCCACTATACATCACCAAGACCCACATCAAGC